AGAGAGGAAGGGGAGAAAACGCGGAGGTGGCTGTAAGGTCTGATCACAAAGGGAGGGTAGATTGAAGTTCATCATCAGTTTATCAGGAATTTTCTCTCTGATGATCCCTGTTCTCCTCATTTATTATTACGCCGCTTTCAAAGTAATTAGTGACAGAATTCTGATGGACCCCTGGGAGACGTGACACACATTGACCGGCCAAATGACAGCGGTTAGAAAACACCAGGGGGCGTAACTGGCCACAGCCTGACCCAGGAGTAATGACTGACCAGTCACTCTGAAATGAGAGACAAAGCACGGGTAGAGCTTTTTTCACAGGCAGCAGTGCGTAGAAGGAGAAAATGGACGTACATTGTACGTGAGTGACGAGACCAGTGAGCCTGTTAAGGGGAAACAACCGACACTACGGTCTATACAAAGACGTTATATTATAAAGTTTTTGAACTCGTGGCAGTGACATCACGTGTGTCCGACATGGGGAGCCTCCTCATGGTATGGCCGTTGCAACCCTATTTACAAGAACAATCTGGGCCCTCACCCTGCTCTCCACGAACTCTTCGTTCTGCTCCCCCACATTTCAGTGAAAGCTTGTAGATTTCCCTCCAAGACCGTCTAGACGTCTCCCCGTGGGTCTCAAAAAGTACTCACCCGGAGATTTTTTTTTTTTTGTTCATACCCTCAACGCTTTGCGTCCCAGAGTGGGCAAATATAGCCCCAGTTCGTTTATGTGGCTCACTGCCACGAGCTCTCATACTATATAACCTCTTTGGGTCTATATTGGAGACGTTTGACATACAGAGGGCCCGTGTCCTCTGCGGTGGACACCAACCGACCCGATTCCGTCCGTCTCTCGGACAGCCGGTAGTTGAAATGGAGCACCGTATATTTCCTAAGAAATCAGTGAAAATTCCGTTTGGCTGTGTCATCACACACGACACGACACGACACGCCCCGACAAAAGACGAGTCGGTTGGAAAGCCGCTTGCTCAATTTTAGCCGGGCCAGGTAGTGACTCGTGAGCCGTAGGCCCCGTCGGGGCTAAAATTTCGCGCAAACCACCTGGTTTAAATGCATATTAACAATTTTACCAATTTTCCTTTAAAAAGCCATTCATTTCTTATTCCCACCTTGGGTTCATTGACCTCGACTATTTATGCCCTGCACCGAGGACACAGCCTTAGGACACAGTGTGTGGGATAAGACGGCCAGTAGGCCAACAGACGAGACGTGTCTTGTCCGAACTGGTGGACACACAAGACGGAAACGACCCGACAGGCTTTCTTCCTCTCGGCAAAAGATAGGACCCTGTCCGTCTCAGTGGACCCGTTGGGTGATACTGGCAAGGACTGGGTTTGGTTGTTTGCTTGGCTAGGGGGGAGGGGGTGTTCGTTTTGTTTTGTTGTTGTTTTGTTGTTGTTGTGAGGTTGTTTTGTTTGTTTTGTAGTTGCTGTTGGGTTTGTTGTTTTTTTGAAGGGGGGTATTTTTGTTTGTTGTTGTTGTTTTTTGTTGGGTTTTTTTAATATTAGTTTAGGGTTTGATTGGGGTTTTCTGGGGGGCGGGTGCCTTTCTGATTGTTGCTTTTTTTTTTGCTGAGGTTTTTGTTTTGTTTAATATTAGCTTTAGAGTGCCCAAGACTACATAAAGTCATATGAGCGCGCTGTGTTGTGGGGGGAGGGGGCGTGTCATGGAAGGGGTACTTTTATGTTTTGCTTGGCCTTTTTTTGTTGCTTTGCTTAGTTTGTTTATTTTTTGGTTTGGGAAGGGGTGATTGCCACTATAGTGCGGTCAAACATTTGTGGCGCAACTAACGGTCAAATATTTCCTAAACTATCGAACATAAATTCTCCAGCTTGTGCACAATGACTTGTATCACTTTGTCTTAACAGATCAATCATTTTTGCGGTCGCTTGATAGATGTATTCAGAAAATTCATTATTAACTACTAATTCAAAATCCTACTGGGTGGTTTCTACAGAGCTAGGGCAATATCGTTTTTAAAAGCAAGTCCGTCATTTTTTCCTAATCGCAACATTGTGCTTATTGAACGCATGTTTTGAGAACCTTTAGAGCTAAATTGTGTTCATATTAAAGATTAATTTTTTATAACAAGTTTTGCCACTAAAATTTGTCATTGGTGAGCAGTGACGTAGGCCATATGCGTATACAAAATGTGTGTGAGAAACGGGAAGTTCTGTGAACAATCCTATTTTTCGCGTGACGGGGCTTTATAGTATTTTATATTAATTTACGACGAAAAGTGTTTTTTGTTCTTCGATTATTGTAGAAAAATATGAATAAGTTAGACAATTTAATACAAACGGCTGTGCAAAGTATGGGTGACATTGATTCACCCGTTTAAAGAGATATTTGACAATAAGTTGACCGCAAGATAGTCCACAGTGTTATGTGTATGCATCTGAAAGAATGAAAGAAAGAAAGAAAGAAAGAT